GAGTCTGGGCGCGCGCCTTAGCTCGAGTCCAGAGTAGGCCAGAAGCCACAGCAGGCCAAATACCATGAGTAGAGCTGAGGATCACGGCAAAAGAAGCCTTCCTTCAGCGTACCTCTCTACAGGAGGTGTCCACTCCTGCTTTACATGGCGCTATGCGCTTTTGCAGGCAGTACGCACTTTCGAGCAAAGTACAAGCAAAGAAAAAGCAACACATGGCGAAGGACATATGTCCTTAACAAAGGTGGGTAACTCGTCTAGTCCAAGCAGCGCCGAGAGCGGTCGGCAGATGCCAGTGATCAATGGACAGAAGACTTTCCAGACCTGCAAAGACCAGCAATGCTTTCGCAGCGGGAATGGTGGATAAGCACACCGCCAGCAAGCTACTGCAAGGGAAATGCGCAAACACTAAGTGGGATCGCCAACCTCTTTTCGCCATTCGCAATACAGTGAGCCAGTAGGAATGAGAGTCTTAGCTCCTCGTTCCCAACAGGCGGGTGGTAGAGAGTGGCAATGGAGGATGCCCAGGGGGAACCTTAGTTCCCTCTGTTGATGTCCGACATTTCCAATTTTGTACAAAGGGGTACAGATACCATGCTAGGATAGGTCCAACGTTTCACCTGTTTCACACGGGCCTTGCACGCAACAGACCACTTTTTGCAATGATGCAGCATTTCACTGCAGGCTTTCGTCGTTTGCTATGGCTGCCACTGTCTGAACACCACCAACTAATATGCCTCTGGACTTGTAAGTGCAATCAGTTGAATGGGTTGTGCTACAAGAAAGGTTTTTTCCACGGCATGAAGCATAGCAACCACTGATCCACTTTGACATGGATACAACCGGCGTTGGAGCATAGCAATGCTCGGGACCTGCATCGTGACCATGTTTTTGCCACACCGTGCAGTGGCCGCTGGTCACTGGTGATTGAGAAGTGAAGTCCATTTGAAGAGTTTTTGGAAACTTTGCTAGAGCACAAACCCGCGCTGCCATGCTCTTCGTTCGAGAATTCAGGCCCATTGATAGTTAGTAGTTTTCGTTTCATTTGTTTCACCTTAGCACAGTGGAAAGACTACAAGATGGTGGAGACTCGGCCTGTGGGCTGTGGTTTGCGGTTGTTTGGTTGTTGGGTCTTTGTCCTTTTCTCCACCATCTGACTGTTTTTCCCTTCCTTCAATGATGACCTGGGCACCATGCCCACACGGCGTCCGTACTCGTGGAAAAAAAACTTCGCTCTGCTGAGAGAGACATTTATTGTCGCGCCCGAAAGGGCAGTCAGCACCAAGCAGCAGTCCATAACCGGCTCCTCTTAGGAGGCTGGCTGCGGATGATTCAGCAGGCATGGGTGGTGACCTCTCTACAGTCGCCATTTGAGATGATAACTTCCGGACTGTGTTCGTTTAGTTCAATTTTACCCCTCAGGACAGCTGTTAAGGCAAATGTCGTGTCACACCAAGCTGGAACGACGGCCCGAAGGATGGCATGCTTCTGTTTCCGGTGCTTGTGCCATACAATGCCTGTGAAGGGGCACTCACTGGGTGATAAATGGCAAAGCAGTGCTTGCAACAGCACATGCAACCGGTTGCTCGCTGGGCTCCATGCCCCTGATTCGATTGCACCTTGCTCCAATTCGTGGAACAAGAAGTACTGAGCGTTTTGCGGAATTCATCGCCCCTGTCTCACCTTCTTCATGCCTTCTTGGCTCTCGGAGCTGCGCTGCAGGTTGCACGTTTTGGGTCTTGTTGTGTTGTTTTTTGGTGGGTGTTGGGTTGCTTTGGTCCTTTCGTGTTGTGTGCAACCTGTCCAGTAACTCCTTCTTAACTCGACTAAGGTGACTTGTGCACCTGCACACACAGCGCCTCCACTCGTGCAAAAAAATACAATGCCTGTGAAGGAGGCCTGCTCAGGACAGCTGCTGTCCTCGCTGGAAAGACGGGCCGAGGGAGGGAATGCATCTGTTTCCCGTGCTTGTGCCATACTATCCCTGAAGGGGGGCTGCCTGCCCAGGACAGGTGCCAAGGCACCCGCCGTGGTTCCTTGACGCACTGCCTTGGGGTGAGGAGCGTCCGAATCTGGTCCTTCGGTGGGAAGCAGCTCTACCCAAGATGGTTTTTCGAAATTGTCGCACATCAGAAATGCGTTATGTTCTGCCTGTACGATTCGGTCGATCTCCCTCCGGAGGGCACCGAAGTTTTGAACCAATTTCTGTTGAAGGTGGGATCCATGGTCTCCAGAGTGGTTTTGTACCACATGCTTGTGAAGGGAAAACAGACGCATGCAACGTCGTGGACAACAGATGGATCACAACACATTGAGCCGGTAAAATCACAGGAGAGACATCTTGGAAATGCAGCTTGGAATTTTGGAGCAAAACCACAGTGAAGGTGTGAGAAGAAGAGCACATATGATGTGTCGTGGAATGACAGATCTTTCACAGAGAACACAGACGATTCAGGTGCATTTATTCTGGGATTGAAGAAGTCAGCGACCGGGAGTATTGGCAAGAGCTACATCATTTCAGTAGCGACAACGAAGCAGGCGATTCAAATGATGGAAACAACAATTGATTTTGCAATGGAATTTACAATGCATGTTTTTTGATTTGGATGACCTGTGAAACCATCTGAACCACAGGCATTCAACAGTGAGTTGAAGTATCGTGCAACATCTGAACCACGATACATACGTGACACTACGATTGAACTCAGGTGAATTTTACATTGGCTGATGCAGCATTGTTTGAAGATGCGTGAAACCAGCTGAACCACGCATATGGAAATAGAATTTGCAGAACGATGCATGGAATAGTGTGCAAGTATGCACCGGAACGGTAGCTATGCATGATAGCTAGAACAGTTGTAGAAGACCTTGTCAGTTCCACCTAGCAGAGGGTGGATTCTACAAATCGAGAAATGTACAAAGAAAGGGTGGAGTGTCGACTCACTTCATCACACTCCAAGGGGGGGGTGTTAATTTTTATAGGTACACATACAGGTACAAAGATGAATGTTGTTTAATGTGCAGTTGATGTCATTGGAAATGTAATATCCGTTCATATCAGTTCAACCGCCATAGCGCTCGGGTTCAAAAGAAAGCTGCTGCCTAACAAAGTTTCAACTTGCCTTGCATTTGCTTTTTTGCTCTTTCATATTTCTTTTGCGCTGCACCATCAATTTCGTTCGATTGCTGACATTGTCCCTGACTGGCCATCTGTGAGCACAAACTCAGCAATGAGAGGCTTGACATCAAGGCACGGGAAAAAGTATACATTGTTTCAAACTTCAGGCTTGTGGGCTTTGTACATTAGTCTCTCACGCACAAACTACCAGCGATGCAAGGCTTGACCTCCCTGCACGCCTTGAGAGGGAAAAACGAAAAACAAGGCACAGTGCCCCGATTTCGATCGGTGCCAGCAACTTCGCATTGATTGTAACGATGAAACATTTTTTAATTCGATCCTTCACTTCTTTTGTTTCACCACTTTGTTGCAAATTCATTTTGTGGGGGAAACGTTCGGAGTTGACTCACTCAAGGTGGAGGTTCTTCACTTTGTTTTTTGCGGTGCCCAGAGGTCAGAGGACGTTGATGTCCGATGCGTGTTGATCCTGTTTTGCCCTTATTCCCCTCTTTTATTTGCCTTTATTTGTGTCAGAATGCAGGGCCTTCATTTGTTTTTTGCTTCTCGAATGTCCTCCATTTTTCAGTTTGAAACGTGAGTCTGATGAAAACGCTGCTTGAGAATGCTCATGCTGTGTTTGCAAGCTTGCACGCAATGCTTGTGAAGCCTGGGAACTGTACTGTGTGCGCACATATTTGTTTAAGCATTTTAAACATATGTTTGTGCGTAACATCCTGTGGTACTGGTTTGCGCTTATACTTTTTGTAAGCATATATTTTTACAATTTTACACATGCAAACAGGACTTTTCATCGGGGCCACATATGTGCCTGTTTGGTGTTTTGTTGGGCCCACTCGCGGTCGGAAGCTCTCACGGATTCTTGATTTAGTGCTTGATTATTTTGGAGTTAGCTATCTGGGGTGTTATGCCGTTGTGATCACTTTCAATTTTTCAAAGGGCCGAAACAGAGATTTTGCAGAAAAGTAGTGACCATGGCCCTCTCAACCACTTTGGTCTGTCGTGGCTAGGGATCACAAGGCCCAAGGACCAACACAGTTTCCCCTCTTTTTCCTTTTGCTACGAACCATGGACATTTGTCAATGTTATGTGTGACACAGTTCATTTCTATTTTGTCAAAAGGAATTGATCATTTCTCAGGTATTGTCACAACCATCTCATTGCAATCGTCATTTCAGTTTTCTTGGCTGGTGAATTTGAGTGTGTCAGGTGTGGAATACTTTGCGAGATACGCTCGTGAAAGAATCGGATTGCAAATTGTTACCAAAGTCCTCCTGATCTCAGTTTCTCCCAAAACTTAGTGTAGGAAAAAATACACGTGCATTTGACTGAAGAGCAGTGGCCCATGCCTGCTTTACTCTGGTGGGTCAAGAACACATGATGCTTTATGGACTGTCGGTTATGCGGGACGGGTGATTTTTTGTTTGTTTGTTTGTTTGTTTAGGATTTTTGTTGCCCTTTTGCAACGCCCTCGTCTTCGATTTAACGTTATTTCGTTTTTAATTCCTGACTGACCGTGCGCTGCGCCCTGACCGAGGCAGCTTTGAGTACAAGAGGCAACCATTGTTTCCCCAGAAGGTGCTTGGGGAATGGTGCCCTCGTGACCGACGAACTGGTGTTTCGCAAATTTTTGGTTAATTAGGTTTGGACCACGGACTTGTGCTTCAATGCTGCGCTTGCCTCACACATTGTGCTGCCATTTCGTAGCACAAAAACACAGCAAAACAGGTAAGGCGTCAGATGCACTGAGAACTTCTTTTTTTGGGGACTACTTTTTTAAAACGAAGCCAGGCGGTCTCGTCATTCTTGATGTCTGAAAGATCTTCTAGTCGGACTGCTTAAGTTATCCAAAACCATTTGTTTCTCTGGTTGCTTCCCGAAGAGTGCCATGATGGATAGAGCTGGCCATGTGAGCAAAGTTGTTTGACGACTGGCTGCATGTCTCAAGGTGGGAGATGAAGATGAAGAACGAACACGTGACCATGAACAATGGCAACGAACGAACGCGTAGGGAGTATTCCAAAAAAACCGTAGCGGTCGGTAAAGAATCACCATTTTGGGGAAAGGTCTGCAACCCAACTATCATCGTCCACTGAAACCTAGTCACGGGATATACCGTACCCAGAGAATCTACAGTCAACGAGCAGTGACATCTCAACGGCCCCAAATCCGATTTTTTGACACCTTCCAGTTTGGGTCGGTTCAGGTTCAGGTTCAGGTTCAGCTGTTCAGTGATTCGCCTATTGCAGGTGCAAAGGATGCGGATGGTGGGCCTTCATCAAGTACATACACAGGTGGAAAATCCACAGATTCTTCTGCCACCTACAAGGGTTCCACCGGATATCCGAATCCTCCAGGCAGTGCCGCTTCGAAGCCTGTGACGCTGCGTGCAGCAGTGAAAGCCTGTGAGGTTGATGCTGTCACAAGGGCATTGCAGAAATTGGAGAATGTTGACAGTTGCCAATCAGTAGAGGCTGCCCTGGATGCGACGGATGGCATGGGTCGCACCTTGCTACACTTGTGTGCTACCAATTCACTTCGCTTGGGCACTGATGGAGTTGTGAATGTTCTGTTGGCACGTCGGGCTCGACCCGATGTGCGAGATTGCAATGATCAAACGCCATTGGCCATCTCTCTGGCAGTAGTGGCTTCGGCAGATCAGAGGGCTGACACGGCTGACTCTGTTGCAGGGTTCCATGTGGCTCACGGAGTGGTATCCTCGTTGTTGCGTGCCAGGGCCACAGTCGTGGGATTCTTGGCAGAATTTTGGATTTAACATTTTTCCAGTTATAGTGTTCAGAAAACTCTGAATTATGTGTGTTGTTTGTTTGTTTGCTTGCGTGCTTGCTTGCTTGGTATTTTAGATGTACACACACATATATATATATATATTTCTTTTTCGCGTTTTCTGTTTTTGTTTTCTTTTGTTTGTTTGTTTGTTTGTCAACATGTTGTACACCTATAAGACAGGTGATTCCAGTCATATCTTGCAAGTGTTTTGTATTGGCAGGGCAAGACGTGCTAGAGAAGCGCTTGGCGTGTGGCGTGCCAGAAGTGCCAGAGGCGAACGAATTCGTTGCATTGTTGCAGAGTTGGATACATTGTTGGATGCAATACATCAACTCAACTTTTTTGTCCAGCTTCATGAGTTGTGAGCCATCTGTGAGTCTGGACTTCTTTCAAGTGATTGCTTTCTTAAAACTCACTCCTTTTTTGTGCAGAGTTCTTTCTCTAGGTGGAAGATGCCATGCACAACATCCTGTCGCTCATGAAGGCTCGCGGATGAAGGCTGCACAGAAAAAAAGCTTTTAAGGGAACAATGTGTCCGCCGCATGGGAGCAATGTGTTTCGGGAACTTGTGTTGTGTTCAGCATTCTTCGGACACCAGAACAGTCCGTTCAGGAAGCTGGCGACGGTCTGGAGGCCGTTTTTAGGGAAAGCGACACGTCACGAATGGAAGAAACACAAGTCACAAACGAATTTGGGTTTGTATATAGTTGACTACTGTACACGACGTTGCCTTTAAAGGGACACAACGAGGACATTTGACCTATCTATATCATCCGAAATTCGTATTGTTTTGCTGACAGTGACATGGCTTTGCTATGCTTTGCTTCCGATGAAGCGAGATGTTAGAAATAACTCATCGACAAACGCATGCAGGACACGGAGACCATTGCTCAGAAGCTTATGCTTGCTGTTGATGGGCATGATGCCACGGGCGTGGAGTGCCTGTTATCCAAAGTGCATGCCAGGTCCAATGGTGGCTCTGCCACAAGTGACTTGACTCGCGCATTCGATGTTGATGGGAACACACTTCTCCACAGGTGTGCCGCAGGTCCAAGCAGTGTCTCTGAAGAAGGAAAGGATGGAGAGAAAGTGGTTGAGTTCCTGGTGGCTGCCCGGGCAGATGTGAACAACAGCAACTTGCTGGGTGAAACACCCTTACTCGCAGCCGCCCGCGGTCGACCAAGCGTTGGTGTTGTATCGGCTTTGCTGCGTGCTCGGGCGGACCCAAATCATCCAGACACCATTGCATCTGAGACGGCCTTGATGGAACTGGCATGCCAGGGCGAGACAAACTTGTGTCGTCTGCTCCTGGAAAGCCATGCTGATGGGTTGCTTCGAAACCGCCACGGACGCAATGCCAGGGACTTGGCCATCGAGAATCGTCACAGCTCTTTGACAGCATGAGTGACGTACCGAAAAGCACAGAGATGTTGAGCAACCTTTTGATTCTTTGTGGAAAGATAGAACGTCGTGTTCGACGCGCATCGAAAGTATTTCCATGTATTTCCTTCTCTTTAGAGAATTGATGCGGACCTTTTCTTCTTAAGGCCTCCCAGCACTGAAAGTTGTTTGGATTTCTCCATGAACCGGCTCTGTCCACCCATTTTTTGCTCTCTCCTTCTCTCCCATCTACGTTTTTTTTTTTTAATTTGATGGAGTCCTTCTTGCTTAAAGGTCCCTGCCTTCCATGGAAAGCTGACAAACAAAAAGAGTAAGAAGAAAGCACTCCATTAAGAGGAAATGCTCAGACTTCTCCTTTTGTGACCAATCCTTCCCACACACCGGCCAACATGACACCGGGGGTCGAGCATGGGGTGCGGTCTAGAGACCTCGGGTGGTCGAACGCTTGTTTCAATATATATATATAATATATACATACAAATATAACGAGTCAGAACAAAACATCAAACAGTATTGGTGTACTTTTTCTACATAATTGAAATGAAAAGCATCGAATCAAAGTAGGAGAAGAGCCCAAACCTACAGTTTTATAGAGATGCTTTGCTTTCTTAGTTTGTTCTATTCCTTGTTTTTTTTCCTTCTCCTTGCATTTCTCCGAACACTGGTTTTCGGCGAAAGCACTCTGATCTGCTTATTTGGGAAAAGCAAGAAAGGGTCGTGACAGGCTCGTGTGAAAATCTTGTCCTCCTCGTCCTGTTGTCTTTGGACCTTTAGACCTTCCGACCTTCTTCGTGGCTCCAACGTCTCGTTAAAAAAAAAGCGTTCTGAGGATCCAACATCGAACAATCCAAACTAAACATTCGAATTCGTTGCACGAAGCGGAGTCAAGGCAAGAATCAATTTGGCGTCAAGAGGAAGGCACGGCGCACGCTGAACCCCGACCCAATTGGGTGACCGAAAAAGCGCATCCGGGTGGACCCGCCTCGCCGGGTCACGGACCACCGGGACCGCCGGCACGGTCCCGGCTCGGGACCCAACGTCACGTCCGAGTGACGGAGCTCGCTCCAGGGGTGGCCGTCGCGAGCGAAGTGGCCGTCGCCCGGTCGAACAGCGAAGTGGCCGTGACTCCCCTTAGTGTGCGGTTTTCGGAACCCAGGGTAACGGATCGCGGGGGTGTTCGATTTCGGACGTTGAGCTTCTCAAGAAATCCCATCTTTTCTTTCCGTAGACTGCCATAGGCGCACACACACACACACACGACCTTCACATCAGGCTACTAGTAGCGTCCTCTGCTCCTAGTAGCGATGCCCTTTGTTCCCAATAGCGTCCTTGTTACTCCTAGTAAGGCCAGGAGCTACGTTCGTAGCGTCTTGCCCAAGGCCCAGGCCGTGTTCACACAGCACATGCCTCGTGTTCACCGAACCTCGGAACCGAACGACCCTCGCGCCATGCGCACGCTCGCGGGGGCCCTGCACTCGCCGAGGCGAGGTCGTGCTCCTTTTCGGCGAGTTTGGCATCACAGCCGACGCAGCCGGAGCACCTGCTGTCGATTTGGATGCGCTCCAGGCAGTGCAGCGGTGTGATTTGGAAAGGATGCAAGGCTTGCTTTCTGATTTGACAGATCATGAGTGCCAAAAGCTATTGACCAGAGGGGTAGATGATTCAGGGCGTCAACTCTTACATATCGCTGCTAGCAAGGGCAGTGAGGAGGATGCGGCGGACATGGCAAGGCTGCTGCTAGACTATGGTGCCCCCATGGGTGGTGCAGATTTTGCTGGTGAAACTCCTTTGTCCTTAGCCGTTGCCGCATCCTTAGATGCTGTTTTGCGGGGCACCGTTGAAGGCGAAAAGGGTGCGAGCAAGGATGGGAGCGCTTGGGCAGCTCTGGACACCATTCGCGTGCTTCTGGTGGCTGGCGCCAGTCCAAGCGATGCAATTGGCTTGTCATCATCGACTTCCAAGCTTCGTGAAGCTTTGCAAGAACATCCTGAAGATGTTGCAGATCTGTGCCGCCTGCTGCAAGCCTTTGGAGCTGAGTTCCAGACGGACGCCGAGGACCCGGACGCGGACGCATCCGAGGATCGTGACTTCACCGAGGATCGGGAATCAGTTCCACCGGATTTGGAGAAACGACTCGGCTCCTTAGGTGCTAAGGTGGTCATGGCCTCCTGCAGCAAGTGGCGCCAAATGAATGCGAAGCAACTTCGTGCTGAATGTGCTGAAGTTGGAATCCCAACCGATGGGTGTGTGGAGAAGGGCGAGTTGATTGAGCGCCTTGCCATGTTTTGGAACCAAACGCCTCAACTATTTGGGTTTGTTCCCAACATTCTTTGCTTTTTGATGCCTTTAGCATCCGATGGCAACTCAAACCGCGTCTCTGCTTCTGCCACTGATGCTGTGTATGATGCCCATGCCCATGCTATTTGTATCGACGGCCACTCTTGCTTTGGGGTCGACATTTGTCTTTACGTGCTTTTGCTGTTGCGATATACCCTACTGTACTTCCAAGAGGCAAAGCTGCAGCACTAAACTGGCTGAGCTGACTTGAGCGCATTCGCCCATTTCAAGAAGCACAATTTTTATTTGTTTGCCTGCTTGGGGTTTGATTTGACTGCTCCAGCCACAAAAAAGGCCAACCCAAAAATCCAAGTGGAAGCCTTCCTTTCTTACTCTTGGTGGCTTTTTATAGTCATGCGTTGTTGGTTCAAACCATTTGGTGCTTAGACCTTCTTGAGGCGACTTCGACAATTGCGGATTTGGCAGGCAATGCCCTTGAGTGTGCTACAAGAGGCTTGCGCTGTCTGTGCTGTCACCTATTTTCCATGTTTGCTACTGGGATTAGGTTGGAGGCCATCGCTGCGATCGGTTGGAGGGTTGTTGATTTGCACCCTTCCGATCACCGATCGCCTGGCTCGCAGTCGTGTGCAGGAGATCGGCCAGAGGGGCCTGTCACGTGCCGAGATGTCGCGGGCCGAGATGGAGGAGCTGCCAGGGTCGGGACCAAACGGCGACGCCGCCGGGGACATCAAACCCCCAGACTACTTCTCAAATAGTGAAATGAGTAGATTTTTGAAAATATAGATCAGAGCAGCCGGCATCAAGCAGGACCTACTAGGGCATTTCTCTTTCACTCGCTTTCTTCCTTTCACGCAGGACCTGCTGCTGGTTTCGATGTACAACGGCCGCAGTCGTCGTGATCGTATTCTGGAGAGCTGTTTGAGCGTTGTACCGAGCTGCAGGGCGAATGAAATGCGCCCTGATGACATTCAGGAGATGTGCAAGAGTAAGAACATTCCAATCGATAAGTTAAGCGATTTGAACAAGGTGGGGACCGTTTTCACTCTAGCTTTTGCTTGATACATCGTAGTTCTTGCAGCAAAACCGAATGTAAACCAATGTATACCAACCGATCAAGACAAATTGCACTTGCAGTTACATACGTGCATGTTTACCTTGAAGGCGGAAGTGGTCCTCAAGCAGGTCAAGCGGTTTGAAGAGGGTAGCGTGAGCGATTTGAAGCGAGAGCCGAACACTTAGCTGAATTGGTGCGATGAACACTTAGACTTCCAGGCTGAGTTGCAGATTGAATCCGGACTGAGGTTTGAAAGACGTGGACTTGTGGTGGAAGCTGGAACAGATTCTGTTCAGCAAGACGTTACCATCGCAATCAAACGTTTAACATTGGGTTGTCAAGATGTTCGCAAGGCTCTGTCACTCTCAAAGAAGGCCACTGCCATACTCCTCAGTAACTTGCATCTGGACGACTAACAAGTTACTGTAATGAGCCCTGTGCCAGCAATGGCTGCCTTGTCAGACTTGGTTATATAGAGAAGTCCTCCACATGTTAGAAACATGAACAAGACCCAACAAAAGCTTAAGCTGCGTGAATGCAGAAGGAAGGAAGACAGAAACGACCTCGGAGAAACATCATATAACACATAATTAAATCTTGTTTCAGCATGTTTCAGCAAGTCTTAGTCGTCGAAGCATTGGGATCATGCTGAAAGACGTAATTCAAAGTGCGAACACGTCGGCACGAAAGGCTTGTGCCATGCAAAAGAGGAAACAACATATTGCACCCTGAGGGGCAAGACAAGGAATTCCCCCGAACATGGTCTCTTGGAATTTCAGCGATCTTGTTGCACATCACACACAATCTGAAGAGCAATACCGGCAGACGAATATGAAAACAACAGCGGCTGAGCTGTTCGGTTCCCTTGATTACACAACCCTTTCTTGTACGCAAAACATGTCGTGTCTGCTCTTCTTCTCACGGCTTCTTTCGTTCGATCGGCTTCTTTCGCTGCAAAGTGTTCGATGTGCGATCAGGTCATTGGGACGTCCTGGTCTGAATAATGAGACTTGTTAGGCTAGTGACCCAGTGACGGTCAGTGGTTGCAGTTGATTTGCTGCGTACCCACATCGTTCACCCACGAGTATCGCATACCTTTTCCATTTGGGTCGGTGTTCGCACCAAGAAACCGATGGCTCGGTGGACGCCTGTTCGCTCGTCCCTTTGACAACAACTCAATCGAAAAGGCACTGAAGGCACTGCGCGTCATGTTGTGACAAAGATCACCGACCTAGAATGAAGCGGCTTGCGTTCTTCTAGAACGGTTCGACACGTGCAGTTCAAGCACAAAACAGTTCAAGCTGCACTGGACATTCGGCACAAAGGCAGGGGCCCTTTTTTTAAAACATGCAGTCTTTGAGCTAATCTCTCTACATTGCGCAAGTAGCAAGACCAGAAGCTCCCAAATCCGCAAGCCAGCTAGCGGAACAGCGCAGAGCGGTAGAGCGTCACGCACGAAAAAGCTGAATAGATGTGCCTGACCGAGGAGAAGCAGGACTGAGCCGGACATATTTGCTTTTGTCATGAAGGCTTTGTAAACATGTAGCTGTTTACGACTTGCCAGGTAAGCTTTGACATGTGCAGGGGCAAATCCAGCTTCGAGCTATAGCACCTGCCGTGGCACAAGGACATGCTGGCAAAGCTAAGCAACGTTTTGGTTTGGGATGAGCTTTCGTTGAGTGTGCTGCAAAAGGTTTGCAGCCCCATAGCAGCAACCAGTGAAGAGCTAACGACAACATCCATGGAAAAGACCTGCTGAAGGCAGTCAGAGCTTATATGGAAGTTTCTTTCTTCATTTTTGTTTTCTGTAGCTTTTGCAGCTTTGGTGTACCTCTTATATAACATTCGCTATTCTGAGGTGAACGCAGCTTGGGCAGTCCCTTTGGAGCAACGCGCGACGCTTGTCTGGTAGTTCATTTGGGATGCTGACGGCAATGCAGCAGGATGATGATGAGGATGATGATAGTGATTCAATTATGAAAAAGAAGATGACACCTACTCGTACATCAAAATACTGCTATAGCGTTATACTATTTGCAGTGTCTCTTATAGACATAACTGCAAAGGTTTTCAGCACAATATCATGATGCGGATGACTGTAGCTTTACATTTTTGTTTGTATCCATTTTCCTTTTTTTGGTACTACGTTGATCGAATATCTTATTGTTCTTGACCAGCCTATCAAATCTAATCTATCTATCGACTATCCACCCATGTACTCTTTTACTTTCTTCAACTTATCTGACCTTATCCTCAAGAGTTAAGAAATTACTTTACTTCGAGTGATCCCCACCATGACATTTCAATCATTTGTCTTGATGCCATAGTGAGGAGCATGTTGCCATGGTCGTGAGTATTGTAGCTCTCAATTTTGCTTGTGGGTCCTCGGGTTGTGTGCTGTGGTTCTCTGTTGTGCTTGTGGTTGTGTGTTTGTTGTTGTGTGTTTGTTGTTGTGTTTGCGGTTGTGTGCTTGTTGTTGTGTGTTTGTTGTTGTGTTTGTGGTTGTGTGTTTGTGGTTGTGTGTTTGTGGTTGTGTGCTTGTGGTTGTGTGTTTGTGGTTGTGTGT